AAGCAAATGACAATACATTTTTGTAGTCATTCTTGATTTGAGATTTTGAAATTTTAGAAAAAAAATTTTAGAAAATTTTCTTACCCTATTTTACTAATAAAACGCGTTTTTTAGTGGCAACCTAGTTGTTAAATTTTACTTCTTTTAAATTCTTTTACATTGTAGATGATTTGCATGTGGACAACTTTTTTCCTAAGAAAAAACAGACTGGTGACAATAAGGACCTATTTGGTTAACCTTTAAAAAATAATTTTAATTATAGAACAATAGGTTAGAGTTGCCTACAATAATTGTACCAACTACATATAATTTGTTTTGTTTTGCAAATCATTACATACAGAACGTTCGGTTAATTATTTTGACAAAAACATAATTTTTTGCAAACTGATAAAATATAATTAGAGAAATAATAAGTAAACTTGAAAACTGATTTTTTTTATGTACTGAAAATTGATTTTATATATGTAGGGAAGGCTTACATTTTCATTTTATTTTGAAAGTCAGAATTATCGATCCCTACAATTTCTTCTGGTGATAAGAATGTTCCAACTTCCAACTTACTTAATAATATAAAGTTTCGGACACACACACACACACACACTTATATATTGTTATAGCTTGTGAGCTATTAATTAATTTATTTTGGTTAAGCTTTGTCAAAAAATATTAGAAAGATAGATATAATTGGTTTATTTATGTGATACTCCTACGGTTCTTAATATAAAACGTATTTAACTAATATGATTAGATTAAGGAAGTTAGTTAATTATAAGAAATATAACATGTTTTTTTTTAAAACACCATAATTATCTTTTTTAATATCATTCTTTCCTCTTCTACTTGATTATGGTTGATGGAGTATTCATGAAGATAATTTTAAAAAAACCGATAAATATGAGAAATAAGTCATATATTAAAAATCAGAAGAATAATTATTTTGGATGCAATAACACGACATAAAGAGCCACAAGGAATGAAATCTCAATTATTAGTCCGACAAGACAAAAAGGCAGATATTTTATCTTATATGACAAAAAGACATAGGTGCCCATTATATTAATCATTTTTTAATCATTCATAATTACAGCCAAAACAGATTAATATTCTCACAAAATCAATAGGATTGCCCGAAAAAAAAAAATTAAGAATATGCGTGGGGTAGTAAGAAGATCATGATTGTATTTTGCTGCTGATGACAAAATCCACGCATGAATTAATTAAAGATATTTCTAAATTGTATAAAATTTTCTGCACCTTGACGATAAATAACACTCTTCAGGCCACACAAAAAAACTCCTAAGTTTGACAATGAGTTAAAATTTTGTTATGATAATTTATCAGCTGTAAATTCATAATTTACTTCGCCTGCTTTTAAATATAAAAGTTAATTGAAAGATTTGTTTTAATATTAAATATGAGAGTCTAATCCATTCTGTCTCACAATGTCATAATTATTTTTCCAAATAATCCTTGGTTACACATATTAAAGCAGGTTTTCATTAATAAAGAAGTCTCCGATGCTACTTATTATAGAACGAGCATTTTAATCAACTGAGATTAAATTTTTACAGAAGGGGTTTGCCCTTTGTAACTTGACGATTTAATATTTAAATCCCTACTGAAAAAGGTACTACATTTAGTACCTAACAATTTTTCAAATAGGCAATAAAAGGATACTTATATTTAATACCAAGGTCTATTTAGAAAAATCAACATATGTTTATTACCAATAACCAAATTAATTAAATTTTTTAATTTTTGTAAATTAGTAATCCAACTCTTATATTTTAGACAAGAGAAAGTAATCCGGTGTATTCTTTGTCTAAAATCAAAGGAAGAAAGAATTAATGCTGCATTGGCTCTATTATAATGTTACTGATGGGGAAAGCCAAGTACGATGAAACTTGAACTAATTATTTTATATTTTGAATCATGATTTTATATATTTTTATGTGATAATTATATTAGACTGTTAAACTAATATAGTCAACCAGTTATTTCTTTTAATATTCCATCCAATCGGCATACTAAAATTAATTAATAAAATCTCACATCATGAATATTTGATGAGGAATATCGGGCATTTAATTGAGTTTTTATAATCTTACCTGCCCATCTATAAATTTCTCAAATTCCATCTGTTGATCTATTTACGCACTCATAATTAATTTTAAGTCATGATCATACCCTGAAGAACAGGGTATGCGAAATAATATTTAAATGGCTGCATGATTTGATGTATAAGTTTTTATTTTAAATTTTGCTTAATGACATTGTGCATAATTTTTAGTAGTGATATTTAATAAATATTAGTCTTCTTCTTCTTCTTTTTTTGGGTCAGCAATAAGTATTAGTCTTCTGTTATATACTAGTAATATAATATTGATATTGATGATAATCCTATCCTATTTTCTTATGGAGTGTTCAGATTTATATGAAATACCATCTCTACTTAACTAGGTAAACAATGTAAAGCACAAATGCAATAATTAGGTTTAGCATTTTGAATGGAATAGTAGAAACAGGTTTCTAGTTTTCCTAATAAAACGTGTAGTTCTCTGATTTCATTATCAAACAAAGCCTTAATATAACTTATTTCATTAAATTTATTGTACAAATGTATAATTTTAAAGTTTCTTTTGATCTCGGTCTAGAAATACATCATAAATAGAATTAGGAAAATATATTTTCTCCTATCCCATATTTTGAGACACTGTTAAGTATTAAGTGTGAATACTTTTCTCATTAGGATTTGAATATTGACTCATCACATTGTTAAAGATTAACCCATTTTGTTAGATCAAACCCTTATTGGTTGTTATTGTAGCACTAAAACAATACTCCTTTGGTGCTTGATATGGGATCTATTTTGTAATACAATTTGTACTATAAAAAGGATTTTATACTTAAAAGTGGAGGAGGAGAATTCGTCGCGTTAACGTATATGTGTGGCCTACTAAGCCCTTAAAATTCAATGGCACTAACAATAATTGTTCAGCAAAAAATGGGACTTTTGGCCCGCAATGTTTCATCTGATATGTGAGCTGGTCCCTGTGTTTTAATGGTATTAATTCCATCCCTATAATTTCAAAACGTCAAATAAATAGTCGAATATGGTATAGACATCAAAGTTTTATTCAAGACACAGGGTGGGTTCTTTTGCTGATTAATACTACCTCGGATCCTAATTATAAGAGCTAGTTGATTAATTTGAGGAGATTAAGGAAACAACTTAAGTTAGTTATTTATAATAAATAGATATTGTCTTTTCTAAAATATCTTTGCAAATCAAGTGTATTTGCTAGAATTACTATTATTAGAAGGATTACCTTAGGGGGAAAAAAAGATATATATAAGAGAAAAAGTGGATTAGGGTCTTATATTTAAAACCAAAATAAAAGTCAAACGAGGTCTAATATTAAGAACCGAAGGTAGTACTTTTCAGAGTAATACTGATATTTGGATCAGATTTATTCAACGTTTTAAAATCATATATTTGACACTTTTATAATGATTTGAAACCCTTGAGGTCTAAATTAATACCAATTGAAGCACAGGGATCAAATTACAAATTAAGTGAAACTTTGAGGGCTCAAAGTTTCCGTTTCCCTAATGTCCCGATCTCTTGCGGTCCAAACAAAATGTGCAGGCGTGAACCCATGCAAGAGGCACAAACATATTTCAGAAACTATTGGAAAGAAAACGCAGTTAACAAAAAAGGTGGATGCTGAATGACGACAAGTAGACAATAGTGGGCCGGGATTAACCAATGAAACAAGTGGGCTAAAACATGAAAAAAGAAATCTCTTGGGCTATAACAAAAATTGATGGAAATGTGTGGGAGGAAAACAGAGGAAGTTATTGCCCAATAAACCTGACCAATTCAGCAGAAAAACAGAAGCCCGGTTAGCTTTGTGAGCGTATGGTATGAGATTTGCATAAATAGCCACAACTGCACTTTCACTGACGTCACTTTGGAATTCATTCCAATTCCAGTCACTTTCAGGATGCTGGTTTTAGTCTCAAGAAGCCATCTTTCGAATTTGGCCAGGAAAAAAAAAATGGCAGAAGCCATCTTTCGAAGATTAGGGGAAACAAAGTTTCTGTCGAAATTAGTTCATTGGGTTATTCCTGAATCAAAATGAAGATGATTTTGGTTGTGAAATGCTCGGAAAGTTGAAGTAGAACTCGGAGGCTGGAGCTGCTGGAGCCAAGATCTTCGTCAAGTTTTTATTAGAAACAATTTCATTCCAAACCAGAGGGGAACGCCACATTGTAGAAATTAATTACTTCTACCAGACTTATAAGAACGTTTTAGGTAAACCGAGATAACACTCATATCACATATTTACCTTATATTTTGTAAACTAATATAGAAAAATGCTTATAAACCATTCTAAATGGACTGTTTATTGTTTCTTATACAATTGAGGATCTGGAAACAAAAGGTAGTTGTAGCAGCAACAAGGAAAACATTGCCGCCATAATGGATCCTTATCTTCCGGAAGAAGATCATTTTCCAGCTCTTACATATCGGAGTGAGACTTCTGGGACAAGGGGACCATCTACTCTAACAGTGTGTCTATCACTAACCCTACCACCCCAACATCAAAATTTGTAATTTGCTATCATATCATCTCCATGCTTTCTTGTCAACATTACTCTCAATATATCAGCATATAATACCAAACTTATAAAACAATGTACTGTTTGTAAGTTACGCAAATGAAACTCCTTCCTCAAAGACTTGACATTTTACAAAGGAGACTCATCTTTTTCTCTTGTTACTGTTCATGGACAATGACTTATCAGTCAAAAATGCTCCCAAAATCGAAACACGAAACAGTTATTAAACAAAACAGCCCACAAAGTAGGGGAAAAGGAACACAACATTGACTCATGTCTAATTCCTCAGATTTCTTTGTACTGATTACGTTTCGTAAGCCTTTTGAGCATTTTCCTGACTTTCGAAAACAAGACAGGGAAACCATAACACCATGTCTCCAACCAAGCCATTTCTTAATCTTAAAATGAAAATTCAACATCAAACACTATATATAGCCTGCAAGATTCAGAACTTTGAAACATCACTTGGTAACAATCAATTCGTGCACAGTAGTGTTAAAACTTAAAACTCAGTATTTTAGATAGGGATGACTTCCAAAATGGCACGGAGGTAACAGTGATCCAACAATGATGAAACGAAAGACACGTGAAAGTCTCTGGTCAAACATAGGCCAAACAAAAACTGGAAATGAAACACACAACAAACCGGGGATCGGGAAACCTGGCGAATTCGCCCAGATTTTCTTCTCTCCCACGGTATAAACACGCCATTGAACCAGAGCGAGTGAAATCCGAGTCCAACTCCTTGAGATTATTATGCTTCTTCAATCTTGATTGACTCCGATTGCAGCTGGAAAATTCGTTCTTGGTTCTTGATGAAACTGCAAGTTCTCAATCATCTTGGGTGTCACCATGAATCCTGCAGGAGAGAAAAAGGGTGAAAATTACATTGTGAGAGTAAAACAGAGGTACCGTAATGAAATTTGAAGGTGGCACCTTAAAAGGAGAGGGAATGTCGGAATGCTTATGCATTCAATGGCGAGAATCAGAGGAAGCAGGGGACGGCTTATCAGAAACGCCGTCATGCTCCTCTTCACCCTGGATTCGTGCTGGGATGCGGAAACCTGAGAAGCTACCGGGGTCAAATCCGATGCCGCCGGCGATAGCAGACTGATGATGGAATGTCGGTGGAAGATAGTGGTGGTGGTGGTGATCAGTGGTGGATGAGTCTATCCAAGCACGAATCGAAGGATGGTTACTGGACTGAAGGGGTCCCCTCTGAGTAAGATAATGGCTCTGGCCGAACAGCGGCGGCGGCAGAGTCGGCATCGGCGACGGCGAGTTGAAGATGAAACCTCCTCCTCCGCCGTGGCCACTATTGCCAGCGTCAGCAGCACCACCATTCCAGGCTACCATTCTATGCAATCGACCGTGTTCGTCTGGGAAAGAAGCCCCATCGAACCCTAGTGGGGTCGTTGCAGAGAACAACTGCTCGTTCTGTTGATGTTGATGGTGGTGCTGAGTCTGATTTTGAGCTTGGTGAAGCAGAATCGGGTCCTGGAAGGACTGGAGCGAGAGCCGCAGATCTTGGTTCTGGCAGGCGCTACTACTTCGCGAAAGCAAATCTGGTGGGTAATTCTGAAACTGAATGGACGAAGAATTTGTCTCTGGCGCCGCCGTCGCACCAGTCGGGAAGAAAGACTTGATGGAGTCAGCAATGTCAGTGCCCAGCGTCGGCGGCAGAAAAGCCGACCCACCACGGTTAGGGTTTTCACCCAATTGCTCCAAAATCTGACAGCCACTTCCCGCATGCGTACTTGTTTCCCGGCTACCAGAAGCCATGGTATCTGCCGCCGCCACTGCACGGTGAACTCCAATCGGGCTCTTGTTCTCGTTCACATTCTCGCTTACCATCTGATTCTGCTCTCGCTCCTGCTCTTGCTGGGCATTTTGATTTACCGTATTGGGGTTCCATGCCGGAAGCTTAGCAAGGTCATCTATGGCGGCCTTGGCATTCTTAATGAGCCAATCGACGGCTTTACTGGGGCGGTCGTAGCCAAGGCGGTCTTGGACGTCGTAGAATTGAATGGCGGTATGAGCGGAGAGACGAACTCGCCGATCCCTTGGTCCCTTCGCGGTACAAACCTTACTGTGACGGTCTTTGCGACCGGTGGAGCGAACAATGTGGCCTCCTTGAACCTCCACGATCTCTCCCACTCCACCCCTCATCGCCAATCTCGACGACGTCGTTGCGGGTCCGTGGTGATGATTGGCACTCTCCCCCATCTTTGTTGCATATTCGACGGTAGCAGTAACAGAAGAAGAAGAAGAAGGCGGAGGCGGAGGAGGAAGGAAATAAGACCGCTTCTTGGGAGGATGAAGAGAGCTATGCTCTGCGTCTAAACCTGCATAAGACTGGTTTTGTTGCAGATACTGAAGATGGAAATGAAGAGCTGGGTCTTTAGAAGATGGAGAAACTGAAGAATCCTGGTCCTCGTCGTCGTCTTCTGGCTCTACATGCCTGGAATTGAGAAGTGGGTTTTGATGGTGGAAATGGTGGAGGTGATGAAAGTGATGACGTTGGTTGCTTTGAGGATCCAGACTCAGAACCTTGTAGTGCTTTTGCTCTTCTTCTTCCAGCTTAATAACCAGAACTTGTTAGCGGGGGGGTTTGATTCTCTCTTCTGGTTCCTCTGCTTGAAGATGACGATGACTGCTTTGTTTCTTTTTTGTTACAGTGATTGGGGTTGCAGGAAGTGTGAAATTCTCGTGCCTCGTGCAACCGTCACCACTGTGAAACCAGAGATTTCTTGTGCTGAGGCAACCAAAAGTACCTGCCATTCATTCAATATTACCAGTTGTTCCATTACCAGAGAAACTGATATAAAGCAAAAAGCTTAACTCAGAAAAACCAAACCACGCCCACGCCCCCCTCCTCTCAAGAGAAACCAAACCTTCTTTTCGCCCTAACCCATCTCCTCTCTCTCTCTCTCTCTCTCTCTCTCTCTGTCTCTCTGAGTCTGTCTTTCTATCTATACCACTTTATGGCTTTGGGTAATTGTGCTTGTCCTTTATGTACTGCTATGATTCACTCAACCAAGCGGGAAAAGAAACCAAGATAACATAACTAACATAACATTCTAGTTTAGTTGGGTCGGTTAATAGTAGGTAGTCACTGGTTATTATTATTTGTCGCTGAAACTATCTCAGAAATGGGGAAACTTTGCAGTAATTTTTTTTGCAGATGGTGGAGAAGGGGTGAGTGAGGGCGATGTAACAGTAAATTAAGAGGGGCTCGGTCTTTGATGAGGAGGAAGAAGATGATGATGATGTGGCAGTTTTGTGGTTTAAACATATGAAGATAATTATGCAATTTTTGAAAGGGACTCTCTCTCTCTCTAAATTGATTGAGGAAGAAAAAGGAACAACAGCAACATCTGTGCGTTCAGTCTCATACGGCAAGCTTACTTTTATGGGGTTATTGGTATTACTGGACATGGCATCTTCCTCACCCCTCTTTCTTCTTCTTTCCTCTTTCGTCACAACATTCTGCCCCTTTCTCCCCTTTTTCCCCTTCTCTTTTTACTCTTTTGCCCTTCTTTCATTATTACTCCCTTCAGCTTTTAACATAAAATCTATTTTGTGGTATAAATTATACTAGATTTACTTTATAGAGTATTACTTATATAAATATTTATAGACACATTTCACATAAATAGAGAAAAAAAAACTTCTCATATTATAAATAAAATAGTACTTTAAATCATTCTAAATGAGTTTATTAAAAATCAAAGGAGTATTTTTTTTTTATTTCTTAAGATTTTTTTCGCCCCAACAACTTAAGGTTCCGACCGTTTAACCTATCAACACATGGACACTAGGTCAAGAGTTAGTGGCTAATTGTAATTGGACTAGGTGAACTCAATCATAATTTAAATAATATAATTTATTTAAAATATATGATGATATTTATATATATATATATATATATATATTTTCTTCAAAAGAGTAATATTTAGGACGGGGGGTAGTATATCATTTAGGTGGAGCTAAGATAGGCCAATTTTTTTAAAATTAAAGAAATTTGGCGGGTGTTTATATCATCCTAGACCATGCATATTTGAATATGGCTGGTGAAAAAATAATCCTAATGCAAATGAAATTATCTAACCAATTTCTGGTCCTTAAACTATGATTTGTATCAATTGAACGCTAATCCAAACATAGTAATTTCATGTCCTCGATATGCTTGAGTTAGGTTTAGTAAGCTCACTATCATTTTTGTTCCATTTACTCTTCTTAGGGCATTATTAAAAGAAAATTACGCCAAGAAATTTCAATACCAACACATATACTCCTCTGCTCCTATTTATAGGGTAGAAAGAAAAGATATTTTTTAATTCTATTTGTAAGGCACTAAGATTTTTTTTTGGTATAAATTTACAATTTTACTCTTTATCTATTATTATGTTAACTTTGTTTATACGAGGTATAATGTATATTAAACGTTGAAAAATTGTTGAATTTTAAATAAGAGTTAATAAAATTTAAGATTTTTTTTAGTCTATATAAAGCACGCTGAAAGTGACTTATAAACAGGACCAGAGGAGTATTTATTTAAACAAAAATTTGCTCATTTGATTAATTTAGAATAAAATGTAATTTTCAAAATATTTTTAATTTGTAAGAAAAATAAAATTGAATAGTTTATGTCACCTAAATAACTTTAATTTATTTTAAAAAGCATTTGAACTGTTAATTTTTTTAAAATATGCATTCAATGCGAATACCCCGCCTTAATTAAACAATGTACAAAGACCGAAAGACACTCAACATAATATGCGAACATATAAAAGCCGTCAAGCACACGCACATTATATACTAAGATCATTTGAAAAATATTTTAAAATTTTATAAATGAGTTGCCCTATTCCCTGTTTATGAATGATATTGTAAGCTGTAATAAAATTTATGAAAAATTAATCATTTGCGTTTTTTTTTTGTATTTTTGACCTGATATACCCTCAACTCTTATCTTTATAGTTTTAATTTGGTTGAAACTTAGTCACTGAATTTTGACTCAAAGAAAGTCAATCCTTATAGATTTAGCATTCAAAACATTAGCCCTTAAATTTAAAAAATAATTTTAGTTATTATAATTTTATTTTTAAAATGCTAGGACCAACATTTTAAAACCAACATTTTTAAAATATCAAGACTGAGTTTCAATAGAATCAAAATCATAAGAATTAAGTTATACAAAGTTAACGTTCAGGAACTAAATTGCGATAAAAGACAAATTATAATGACCAAATAATTAATTTTTTCTAAAGTTTATACTATATATTGATATAGTATTTAAGATAAAATCGTTAGGATTGAACTTTCATATTATGAAAAGAAGAAAAAAATCTTTCAAGGCAAGGTTCTGGTTTTGGTGGTGATGATAGTATATCTTTTCCTTCTACTTTCTGTTTTTGAAGAGACATCTTTTTAGTTGTGTGTGTATATATATTAAATTCTCCTATTATGTACTTTGTTCTTCATATGAATAAATTAAATCAACTGAGTATTTAAAGCAGCTTCGCATAAATTATGTACTACCTCCGGTCCTTAATATAAGACCTCATTTGACTTTTATTTTGATCTTAATTATAAGATCCCAATCTATTTTGTCTATCATATTTATGTATTTTTTTTCAAAGTAGTTCTTTTAATAATGATAGTTCTAATCAATAAACTTAATTAGTAAGGATATTTTAGAAAAAATAACACCTATTTATTATAAATAGCTAACTTAACTTACTTCTTTAATCTTTTCAAATTAGTTAACTAGCTCTTATAATTAGGATCGGAGGTAGTATTATAAAAAACTTAGGATCGTCATTGACACATAGACTTCAATCAATGCAGATCCAGTTTAATTTCGACCCAATTAAAAAATTGCAATATTCATGATGAAGACTAGAGGAAGAACAGCAATTCCCCAAAATGAATGATAGTGATATATATATATATATATATATATATGCGGGTATATATATATTTGCAAAATGTGACACTAAAATTAAATAATACTATTTATAATATACAGCAAAAGGAGTGGATGATGCTTCTCTAAGTTGCATATATATATGTATGTATATATATTTATATATGTTTCTTTTAGAGGAAACTCAAAGTAATAATATATGCTGATCGAATAATTGGTGAAGTGACTTTCAGATCTGCTATTCAAGAGTGCAAGGACCATCCTTGCCTCATCATTTCTCCATCACCATTTTGGTGGTCGTAACTTGAGAAAACTTGAGAATCAATCTTCACCTTTTCTAGCTTTTCTTCATGCGCGCGCGCACACACACACGCACACACCCTCACACTTTCAGATTATATTGAATCCCAGTAGTATACCCCACTATATATATTTTAGAACTGTTATGATATGTGTGTGAGATATTTGTTTGCACAAGTTGATATTTTATTTACCTATAGGAAAAGGACCACTAGCTTGTTTAACTATTTCATATGAAATAATGCACAAATTGAAGGCATGTATATGTATATAAAATCAAAAGAATGAGAAAAAGGAAACAAAAAGAGCAGTATGTGTGTGCGCGTCTATATATATATATGAGAGGAAGGCGGCAGAAAGCAAACCTGTTGTGGCTGAAAGAGAGAAACTTGTGAAGCAACCAGCTAGGGTTTGTGAGCAGAGGTATGAGGAAGATGAGATATTCTCCTCCCGACGACAACGAATAATACAATGCAAGTTGTCTCTGATCTTTCTGCGAAGCTGATTTTGGAATCCAACAAGTTATAAGGTTGAAAAGGTTTCCAGAGAGGTCAAGTAAGTTCTTTTGGTATCCTTCCTGGAGGTGGAAAGATATGGAATCTGTTTCCCTTCTTTGTGCCTGAACTATACTACTCTCTTTAGCAATTTGAGATGCTTTAATTATAAGCGTTGTGTGTGTGTGTGTGTGTAGCTGTGTCACAAACTTCAAAATATCTTCATATATATGCTTAAAAGATTATGATTAATATTGTTTATTTTAAGTTTTTGAAGAGTGTCGAGCCTGTTTTTGATCTCTTGATTAGTTGTAAAATTAACGGTCTTCTATATATGCGGTATCAATATATACACGAATTTCCAAGTTAGTATATATTATCAAGAATAAAAAGTATGAAATGCGTTGGTATATGGTGCATTTTTTTTCCTTTCAGATGATTGAGAGGAAATAATAATTTGGAACAAGGGAGTTTAATTAATTTGCTTTGTTGCCTTTTAAGTAAAAATATTAACCACACAATGTGTATCTCTTATTGAAAATAATAAAGGGAATTTTCGGTAACATATCTTGCCCCCAGTTAAGTAGACGCATCATGAAATTTTTCTCTAACTAAAATTCTAGCTTTAGAAAGAAAAGAAAAAAGTCGACAACCTAAAAATCTAAGTTATATGATCGGGTTTCTTAATTTGGATTGGTTAAGGTCTAACCGTAATGCCATTTATTCTGAAAATCCTTCCGTATATTCTATCCAAAAGGTTGATAATTCTTTTTTTATTTTAGCTTTAATATTTGAAAAAATTGGGAAAAAGCCATTGATTGAAAAATTAGTTAGCAAATGGCATATGAAATTCCGAGTACCATTCCAGATATCATTTCTCAATTAATTTTTTAATCACAAATAATCAAACACTACTTTCGGTCCTTAATGTAAGGTTGAATTTGGTCCTAAATAAAATATCTTAATTCACATTGTCTGCTATCTTTTTTTTTTAAATATCCCTATATACTAATTGTAAAGGATTCCCACCAAGAAATAATTCTAAATAATCTATTAATGCACATAATTGGAAAAAATAGTTTGGAAAGACTAACACATTTGTAACAAATAATCAGCGTAACTAAAATTTTTTAATAATTTTTAATTAGTTATCTAACTCTTATATTAAATATTAAATGTAATATTAAATAACTTGTTACTATATAATTAAAGTAAAGAAAGTTATATAGGTTCCAGGATCTACTTTGCATGCCTATGAATTAAGGCAACACGGGCTTTAACATAAGAAAGTGAATTTTTAAGGAAAAAGGAAGTTGGTAAGCTCGATGCAGCTTTCATTAGAAACCATAATATAATATATTCTCATCTGACGATTAAGATATACATGATGATCATAGGTTGTCTCCTACGTCTGATACTGTTGGGTAC